TCAGTTGTGAGGATGTGTGTGAGTGGTGTGGGGGGGGTTGTGCAGTGGTAGTGTGTTAGCAGGATGCAAAGTGAGTAGTGTGGGGGCTTTGTGGTACAGTTGTGAGGATGTGTGAGTGGTGTGGGGGGGTTGTGGTAGTGTTGTGAGGATGCTGTATGAGTAGTGTGGGGGCTTTGTGGTACAGTTGTGAGGATGTGTGAGTGGTGTGGGGGGGTTGTGGTAGTGTTGTGAGGATGCTGTATGAGTAGTGTGGGGGCTTTGTGGTACAGTTGTGAGGATGTGTGAGTGGTGTGGGGGGGTTGTGGGAGTGAGTCATAACCACACACCACCCTCAACACACTACCTCTTTCCTGCATCACCATCCAACACTACCAACGTGCAACACACCTGGTCACCTCTACATTATTAACACCTATACTGGAGTTGATTGGGATCATGTGCTGTGTACATCGATGTATTTCTGCCCGACACTGAATACGTCATCAACCTCTAGGGTCCAGGATAATATTAAGCCCTGGCACGGTGACTCCTCTCTCTTAAAGTGCATTAAGGTGATTGTATTTGGCGTCATCTAATCCCTAACTTCATAATGGAGTTGTCAAGGCTTCACTGTAATTACAATCTCCAGTTTTTTAGTTTCGTTTATTCAACTGGTATTATATCTACAAGAGTTATTTAACCAGACGTGGACATTTCTTTTTGTAAAGTCATATGTAGTATGAAATACAATATTTCAGTATACGAGTGTCATGTTGAGATGGGAGTGGTGACATTAGTGGGGCAGCTAAATGCAATTTTTCAAGAGAATCATGAAAATGGTGGTACAAGCACCAAATTTGGCATGGTAATTCTCTAATGGTTACTAGTCAAGTCTGCCTGATTGGCCATTTAAAAATTCAAGATGGCGACCATTTTTCAAGATGGCCGCCATATTGACCTTCAAAAGTTGATTTTTCTTATAGAAATTGATGTAGTTGGTCAATCTGGGTGATCTTGGTGTCGATATGTATGTTTTCAAGCATGCTTAGATGATTTTTTATAGTTTTAAGTCCATTGTAACATTTTTATCCACATAAAATAACACTTTTAGTAAAAAATATAACAAAAAAGAACTTACTAAAAAAAAGTACGGTAAACAGTGGGAACACAGTCCCACCACCGAGACGAGGTAACACTCCCACCACCGATCGTCTCGTGTGAAGCAAGCATATAAATTAAAGAAAATACTTGCAGTGTGTTTAATATGTTACAGTATATTATAAATAAACAAATAAATCGGTAAATCCATTTCAAGTAAATGGAAAAATTTTACTCGACACCGACATTAGTTCCAGTTACCGGTAAATAGCAGACGCTTCAGTGACGTCACTAGTGTTTACACTACACCAGCGGGTAACATTTGATGACATTACTTGAAGTGAATTGGCCTTATTTTAAAAAACCAAGGATGGTTGGTAGAGGACTACTGAGTCAGTGGGTAAGTGTCACATTTGGGGTACTGGTCTTATACAGCGAATAGAGCTCAAAAACTACTTTTTAAATGGAAATTTGGGGGGGCCGTCTTATGCACCCCGACGCCTTATAGGCCGAGATATACGGTATGCATCGAGTTGTTGGAGCTAAGAAAATTTATTTTATTTGAAGGTGTACCCGACCCACCTCCACCTAGTTTGGCAGCTGGTCCAACCTTCACTCTTCCCACCTCAGAAAGTTTCACTCAGGCTCTCAATGCCCACACCCTCAAGACTGACATGAGGTAAGTTACTGCCAGGTAATGAGTTATTTTTTTGTGTTTTGTGTACAGTTCATGGACTATGAGGAATAAAATGAGAAAGCAAATTTTTTCTGTGTGACATGTCACTTATGAATGTAACTTAAATATGGATTTTTTTATTTGGAATTTGTCACTGTAGCAGGAACATTTTCCATAGCAATAGTTTGTTCTTCAATATTTGTTAAAGATGTTAAAAATTAAAAATGCAAAAACATTTTTTATTCAGAAATCCTGCTCCTGAGCAAAGTAACAGATTACTTGAGGAAATTCTTCAGTCCAAACCCCACTCTGGGACCCCAGGTGCTCAATGTGATATGACCAATCTAGTCAACATGGCCACAAATGAAATCAGCAACCAGGATGAAATAGTAAACACAAATAAGGATCCATATATATATATATATATATATATATATATATATATATATATATATATATATATATATATATATATATATATATATATATATATATATATATATATATATATGTAATATTCAGAAATTTCAGAGTAATTTCAAATGCCCCGCCATTAGCGATACTGAGCGTTCAAGGTCATCTGAGGGGAGAGAGCGCTGCCTGCTCATAGCGAGAGATTGCGGAACTAGGCCTATATGATATTAAATGTAATTTACCGAATTAATAATGATGCGATTCATGAAGTAAGGGACTATTATTGAATTTGAAATTATTATAGATCGTTTATCAGTCTGAATAATGTTACGGGTGTCCCAAGGAGTTATTAGTTAGGCGGAAAATATGTCACGTAGGCCTAAGCTAACGCCTTGAGAGGACGCGACGCTGGCTGGCCCTCAGTCGCGGGGAGGATTCATACAAAACAAGACGTCCCTGGGCGTCCGTCACAGAAATAGTCACGTGGCCTAGTCACCTGTGTTGCGCTATTGCCGTATAACAAGTAAGTCTCATGCGATCTCAGACAGGGTTAGATAGGGCAGTGGTAAAGTAAACTAGAGCTAACAGTGAGTTCATTTCAGGGTTTCCGTCAGAACCCACTTGACTGGAGTTGACCGGAGTTGACTGCGAGAGATTGACTGCCGTTTGAGACTGCCGTTGATGATTGAGGGTGGCGATTGTCGCCATTGGACCGATCAGTGTAGGCCTGTCACTGTTTAGCGGGGTAGCAAAGGATCTCTTGAGTGAACGAGTGCTTCCGACAACTAAAACGACGGGACCAGCATCCACAGTGGGTGATCAGTTCTTACCACTCGGGTGCACAACACCACATGTCCCGAGCAGCTTAGTGAAACCCTCTTGCTAACGGGAAGCTAAAGTTTCTCTCAACTGTACAAGGTCTGATTGGCTCACTCCCTTCCGCTTTATGGACGCACTGGGAGTACACTGAAGCTATCTGAGTAAACTAATGGTCACACACTGAGACCGTGAGTCTAGGTCTCTAGGAGATACCTAGAGGAACATCTTCCCTCCTTTATTACGGGTGTAGTTAACACCATTCCTCAGACTGATATTATCTTGACGTGTGTAGTTTAATAGTCCTAAATAATTTTGATAGTATTGTTTTTGAATGTTTGTGCCATTAAGTGGAACCAGAGTGATACTGTGATTTGATTCTTTTAATGCATCTAATTGTTCTTCATAATTCTGATCTCAGGTATAACCTTGTTCCCCAGAGTAGTGGTTAAGTTAGGTTAGGAAGTGTGCATCTGTTGGGGTGCTATTATTTTGTTGAAAGCCCTTAAGGCCTATTCATTGTAGAGTATTTAATTTCTTATTTTTATTACCATTTCCTCAGTGACTGATATTATTTTGTTGAAAGCCCTTAAGGCCTATTCATTGTAGAGTATTTAATTTCTTATTTTTTATTACCATTTCCTCAGTGACTGATATTATTTTGTTGAAAGCCCTTAAGGCCTATTCATTGTAGAGTATTTAATTTCTTATTTTTTATTACCATTTCCTCAGTGACTGATATTATTTTGTTGAAAGCCCTTAAGGCCTATTCATTGTAGAGTAGTTAATTTCTTATTTTTTAATACCATTTCCTAAGTGACTGATATTATTTTGTGAAAGCCCTTAAGGCCTGTTTCATGTGTGCAAGCAACATTTCTTAATACTTCAAATTTATTGTTGCCTGTGTTTCTAATAATTTCTATATCATGTATAATTTTTAGTCCCCAGAGTAGTGTTTTAAGTTTAAGTTAAGAGGTGCGCATATTGGTGTACCATTATTTGATTGTGTTTGTAGTGTTGGAGGGAATATAAGTGTCTAAATTTTACAGTGTGTCTCATTCATCCCAGTCACAGACGCTATCCTTCCACGGGTCACGGACAGTTCATTTTGTTTAGTAGATTTAAGTGTTCTTGTGCTGGTTCGGGATTTTTCTCAAAGGGGCGCTTCCACTGCCATTACCATCTGTTAATTTTTAATAAACCCCAAGTCAAGTGAGAAATTAAAGTCCAGTAAATTCCGACCGGTTACATATATATATATATACACAGTTGTACCCCACTTAACGCGGTCAATTGAACCCAGAGGGTCCCGCGTTAAGTGAAATCCGCGTTAAGTGAACAACAGAACATATGGGATTAATTCCAATAGAAACCGGCCCGACCCCCAAACTCCACTTTTTGAAGGCACATACCTATGTTGTAGTAAAAATAACATCTTAATTTTATGATGGTACATGCACACAATTAATACTTAAGAGAAATAGAGAAATACAGTCGCCAAGTTAATGTCCATTCAAATAATGGACTCAACTCCCTCCCTCTCTCACACTACACTCGCTGGCTCTTCCCTCTCAGAGAAATTTTTGGGGGAAAACCACTAAATTTTAATAAATAATACCTCAAACTAAAGTTAGGATAATACAATTGACATTGCTGGATTCCTTGTAAGACCAGGAATATTTTGAATATAAATGTCATATATTTTGCACAAAAGATAACATAGTTACCTAGAGAAAATTTTTTATCTAAAATTTGTATGTTTAATGAAAAATATATGATGTTTATATTCAAAATGATCACCAAATTATAAGAATTCCAGCGACCTCCTATACCTCTGAGAATACTGTAATGGCTGCTACATCTACTCAGAACACAGAATTTGGGCCGGTTCGCCGGATAATCGATCTAAGGTGCGCCAGTTGCCAGCTTTATTATTAAGCCCTTGTCCATCGTCGTCAACTGTCCAAGTTGTAACTCCAGGTAGTCCAGTACACACTAGTTTTAAGCGTGCTTGCTGTACACCAAATTCAGACAAGGACTCTCCAATGTCTTCTACTGTACGCCAGAAGGGGACACGCGCGATGACCCCTGTAAAACATTCTCCACGAACATTTGCTGGGTGAGTGATGCTCTTGAGGTGTAATAGGTGGAGAATAGTAATATACAGTATAATGATTGTAAAATGTGCAGATAATGGCCATAGACAATAAAATTATTTCATTAAAGGAACAGTATACAAGTTAAAGTGAGGGAGGAGGATTGAGTGGTTCACTAAGGTCAAAGTTACTATGTTCATGAAATGTACTCTTTTGTCCCCTGCTGCTTTGCAAAATATGAGGACTAGATTTTAGTTATCCATCTCTCCAACTGTTATCAAAATTTAAGAACTCTAAAGTATGCACAGTACAGTTGGTCCTCACATTACGCGGTTAATGTAACCCGGAGGGTCCCGCGGAAAGTGAGGAACGCGTAAAGTGAACAACATAACATATGGGATTAATTGAAATGGAGTCCAGGCCGATCCCCAAACTCCACTTTTTGACGACACACAACTATGTTGTAGTAAAAATATTATCTTAACTTTATGATGGCATGCACACACAATTAATAATTAAGAGAAATATCAATAATATTAGGTTTTTTAACACTTACATTAGTAGAAAAGATGGCTGGGCACACGGGGATGGGGGGTTGGTTCCGAGGCAGAGGGCAGATTATTGGCCCTCACCTGTATCACTGGTATCAATTGTATCACTATCCACCACAGAGGCTTGCAGGGCCTCTTTGTTAAACCCCTCAAAGTCCATATAAGTCCATATCCTCACTATAATTATCACTATCACTGACTTGGGCCGGTTGTGGTGGGTGGCGGGTAAAGAACTCGGTAATGTTTTGATGACTGGGCGACCTTGTGCGCACCATTTTCGCGCCTCTTACACAACATGGCGGATGGCGGGAGGTTTGGATCCAAAAATGGCGCGGCTTGCCAGCCGCTCTCCGCGTAATGGGGTTCACGACCGCGGAATGTAAGAATGTTAGGTTCTGGCAAGGCACCGCGTTAACGGTGAAACGCGGAATGCGGGACCGCTTAATGTGAGGACCAACTGTATTTTATTTTGAAACTTTACCAAAGTATGCATTAGCAAAGCCTTTATTTTTTATACCTTATGCCAATTTTTAGTCTTCCCTTTATAGTCAGGGGCATAACCAGAGATCAAGGTGAAGATCAGACTTATAAACAAACTTTGTGATTGCTCTGAAACTTTCGACAGTATAGCATGTTTCCCCATGATCTTAAGCAGTCAGTGATGTGAAGAAGTCAGGAGTAAAGTGATATTGGGAAAAGGTGATCTCTCTCTGATAATCTTGTTGTAATCAGTCAACAATTGTAAAAACATTGTTGATCTTTAAAGTTGACATTGTCTGGTAGTGGAGTATATTGTGTTGATATTTCAAGATAATTTCCATATTAGTTAAAGAGTTACAGAAGGATATAAGTTGTTTATTATATATTGAAGATGAACTTTCCCTTATAAGTTAGACCTCAATCGGGACTGTGCATGACACTTTGTCTTTTGGCGATGCAAGTTGCACCAGTGTGTCATGGGGATATTTTCATTGGTTAAGAAGTTGTGGAGTGAATACAGACAGATTTCTGTACTGTATCCAGGGTACTGCTGTAACCTTGAAGGTTAAGTCCCCACTTGGTCCATGACGTATTGCCTGGCAGTTGCTACATTGTGTTAATGTACCTTGATATCCTTTTTGGTTCATAGGTTTCAGGGTGGACATGAACACTTCATTAATATGCCTAATTTTATCCTTGAAGATACGGACAAAATATTATTTGACAAATTTCATTCCACTTATGCATAATGTGGTAAAGCTTCATTAAGATGCAATATTTCATAGTTTTAAAGTTATGGTCCTGGAGGGAGGGAGGGACAAATAGCCTAATTCTGCAGTGGTGGTGAACAAATCTGTTTCTGTTTAATTAAAAAAACCTGTTATACAAAGTAGGTTTACAGTAAAGTGGGGCCATTTGTTTTTAGGATACTTTTATTATTTTCCTGGTGGGGGTGGAGATGACATCATGCCAGTATCATTTTGATCTCTACATTTGCATTTTTTTTTAGTTTATTTAATCAATTTATCATATTTCAGCTCAAAAACAGGCTGTACTGTACGAGAATTGGCAACTGCATATCAGAATCACATTGGAGAAACCCTTAATGAGGTTGAAGAGCTAACTTCTGAGGAGTGTGAGGTGTGTTTATAAGTGGTTGAGTTCGTTACTCTGGTAAAAAAAAACTGTATACAGTATAGTCTTCATTTGCGCGGTCAATTGAAACCGTGGAGGTCCGCGTAAAACGTGTAAACGAAATAACAGAACATATGGGATTAATTGAAATAGAGACTGGGCCGACCCCCAAACTACACTTTTTCTGACACAATAGTACGTTGTAGTAAAAATAACATCTTAATTTTATGATGGTATGCACACACAATTAATATTTAAAAGAAATATAAATAATATTAGGTTTTTTAACACTTACATTAGTAGAAAAGATGGCTGGGCACACGGGGATGGGGGGTTGGTTCTGAGGCAGAGGGCAGATTAATTGGCCCTCACCTGTATCACTTGTATCAATTGTATCACTATCCACCACAGAGGCTTGCAGGGCCTCTTTGTCAAACCCCTCAAAGTCCATATCCTCACTATCACTGACTTGGGCTGGCCGTGGTGGGTGGCGGGTGAAGAACTCGGTAATGTTTTGTTGACTGGGTGACCTTGTGTGCACCCTGCCCGCGCCGCTTTCCGCGTAAATGATGGAATGAACCGTGTAAATAAAAATTGCCAGTCTGGCAAGGTGCCGCGTAAATGACCAAAGGCGTAAGCCGAGACTATACTGTATATATATTTTTAATCCTCCCAGTATAAGTCAGTGAGTTGTGAGTAATTTTATTGCTTGTCCATGACTCCTGTATTTGTGATGGCCACATAAAGCAAATATCCATTTCTGTTTATATAATGGATATTTTATCTTTCAGGTAACACACTCCCCAGCGCATGTAACACGACATGCACGAGTTAGACATGCAAAGGTGAGAAGCTCCTCTTGGTTATATGTAAACTTTTAGAAAATATAGTACAGTATTTGAGAAATTATTACTAAACCTGACATGAATATAATAGGTTGAGGTGCATTTGTACAGGGAGTAAGTTACTAATGCAAATTAGACTTACACTACAGTAATTGAAAGAAAAGCCATTGACTATGCTAGTGAACAGGACGTTGTCTCTTGCCAGAAGTCATTAATGTTTAAAGATATTTATTGCCACCACCAACAGGGTCATGTGAATAGGCCTTTCAGCAAGCTGTCTTAAGTTGCCATTTCTGACTGTTGGCATACTTAATATGAGTCTTTTCCATGACAATTCATAGGGCTGCCATGATTTTTATGTTCAAGTGTTTAAGGTACCATTCTGGGTGAGTTTGTATTTTTCTTGGGTGCAATCTGATATGCACAGGGACTGTCACTTAGTCTAAAGATATAAGGCTAACCAACCATTTACAAGAGTTTCCAATTTACCTTTTTTCTTCCCTTTTAGATATTACAAATAATATATGATTGCTATATCTCATGGTTGTTAGCTTTCAATCAGTCCTGACCCAAAAGGAGGTGAGTTTCTGATAGTAATCATTGAAATTTGTAAATGGCTTCATTATGTGTGTTATGTTTTTGTGTATTTCGAGTGTTTCTGGCATGACCATTTTGTTCTTGAGGTTTCTGTTTCCCTTGATATGCCCTATGTATACAGTATAGGAGCAGAGAATAGAAAATTACAAAATGTAGATAGAATAATAGTGTAAATTACATAAAATGTACTATTTAACATTAATGAAGAACTTATTACTGTACTGTTACGATTATATATTCATTTCTAGAAGCCTCAAATGTTCCTTTAACAGGGTGAGAGTTCAACAAGAACTATCGCAGGAGTTTAAAACGTGCCCTAGAGATTGCAAGAGGTGCCGAGTTGAAAAAAGCAATGAAATATTCGGAGGTTTGATTTTTTCAGTACTGAGAGCATTTACTTGGGCTAACATACAGTACTGTAATGTAAGGGTATTGTTAATTAGGAGGTGGTAATATTAGAAAGGGGAAATTAATGGGTTCACAGGGAATTACAGTATATTGGTGCTTATTGTTTATCAGAACTATTTCACCATTAAACAGCTAATAAATGTTTAATGTTCGTGAGTTGTAATGGGTTGTGGAGGTTGTGTTGATTTTTATTTGCAAAGAAGCTATTCGGGTTTACTTACATTTTGAAATGTGCAGATATAATGGCCCTTTCCCCCAAAAAACTAACTTTACTTTAATCATTGATATCTTATGAAATGATAGTGTGCTGTATTTGCATCACCTGGCTGTATTTATATACAGTATACTATCCTTCATATATGGTCACTCTATGTATGTATTGTATATTGGTGCATCCCTCTTAATGGCCAAAATCCACATGTACAGCACCTAGAATTTGAAATTCCTTTTAGTTATTAAACTTGTAGTATGGTAAGCATTTCCTTTGTGCATCTTTGTTCTTAGATTAGTTCTTCCTGTTCATCCACAATTTCTTCCTCACTTGTATAGCAGTAAACATAGAATTTTTTTAAATAAAGTATGTTTCTTTTTCATGGGACTACTTTGCCACTACCAAACCCTATTATTTTGAGTGAACTCTACCTACTTAAATGCATTCTTTGTAAAGTACAGTAGATAGCAACTGTACACTCTTCAAGTTTTCGATGTCCATTCTTACAATGAAACCTCCATATAATGGATTCCTCTCTCCATATAATCTGTTAGATGGGGTTTCATATCAAATGGATCCTCAATATAAGAGACTTTTATCTCTATCTAACATACTGTAGTTCATTAGATGTGGGATTCACATAAAACGGGTCCTCTATATAGCGGAGTCTCCTTTCTACATTGTCCGTTAAATAGAGGTTTCACTGTAGTGTACAGTAATTTAATTTTGCAATGGGTAACAACAAACAGTATAGTACAAGTATTGCACCCTTTTTTACTCATAAACCTTATTACCAGACTTGAATCAATCAGAACTGTACTGGTATAATTGCAGATTTATGAAATGTATGTACAGTACAGTATTTATATTTACTGTACGAGGCAGTGGTGAAAGATTACTGTATTAAATGAATGGTTTGATTAATGTTAGTCCTCATATACTGAGATCACATACTGTACTGTACTGGGAATGGTAATTATTGGAGAGCGGTTCTTAGTATGACAGCACTTGACGTATATACCAATATTGTTAACAGTGGCCTGGCATTCTTAAAAAAAAAATTACTTTTGTGATGTGGTTTAATCAAAGATGGCATTTATTGTTTAGCTTTAATCAAGAATATTAAGTTGTTAATCCCTGGAATGTTCTTCAATGGTGGCTTCATCATATCTTCATTGTTTTATGCCCATTTCTCTTGTCAGGTTTCTATCTCTCAGATAATTCGTGACTTCTCCCCATGTCAGAATTACCTGTAAGTATTTCATAGTTAAATTTATGGAGGGGTTAGTGTATGTTCCATCATATTAAGATAAATCAAATGCATGCAGCAAATTTCGTGTTTCATCTTGAAAAAAAGCTGAACTATGTCAATAATATATTAACTCACTGTATTTATTTCAGACTCCAGACTCCCAGAGAGTTCGGATAAAGCCCCCTGCCAGAACCCCACCTGCAACTTGTCCTTCAGATAAGGTACTGTATTTTCAAACTTGGGTGTTTTTTTGTATTTTTCTTATTACTGTTATAGTTGTGCTGTCCAACTGAGTCATAAACTCAATTAAAAGAGATATAAATAGGGATTAAAAATATAAGGAGTGAGCTTGATCATCTTTATTTCTCTTCCACAATTTGGTGATGTGAACTACAGGCAGTCCCCGAGTTATGAATGGGATCCAATACATTCACTACAAAAATCTCTAAGATCCCATATTTTACATTACTTTACTTTCATTATTCTGTATTGTTTAACATCACTTTATTTACAGTATTTACATTATTTGTTATGTATGGGATATTATTGTTGTTTTATATGGATGGGATTCTATACTTTAATCTCTTCTACTTATCACTTCAACTGGAAGAAGCAGTTGCTGAGCATTTAGACATTTTGGAAAGGTCGGCATTTGCTAAACTCCAGGGGAATTGTAGCAGTAAGTGGATATGTCCTTGATTTGAGTGACACCTTGTTTGCAGCTGGGGAAATGTGCAGTAGTATTACATACTGCATATGGTATACTCTATATACAATATACACTTTCCTTTGTTCTGAATGATGCCTTTACTAAATTTTATAATTGATATATTTTTTTCCTATGTAGGTTATTCGACCAAAGAAGATTTTACTCAGCAGCAGCAGCAGTACCCATGGTAGCTCTCGTGATACACCAAAAACTTTCTCAAGAAGTCGGCTGATGCTTACCTCGTCATCCTCGGTAAAACACAAAATACAAAAGGTTTTGCATACAGTATTTATTATATACAGGAACACCCTGGTTAATGAGAGGGCTAAGGACTGACGGCAGTTGTTTAAAACCTGAAAAGTAATTCACTATAGCACTGTTCGTCATACACCGATGTTACTGAAAATAGATTCAAGACATGGCAACAGTGCAGCAGCAACTGCAACATTAGAAATATATAATTCTTATGCTAACAGCCATTATATTTTAGTGTATTTTGTTCTAAGTCTTTTAATGAATAAGATAATAACTGTAGCAGTATTTTATTTTTATTATCAAAAG